GAGAGAGAGAGAGAGAGAGAGAGAGAGAGAGAGAGAGAGAGAGAGAGAAAGAGAGAGAGAGACATATGCGGGCAGGGAACCGCCACGACCACTTTTCAAGGAAACGAATCTGAGAGTGCATGCGGTGAGAGCAACTCTGCTGGTTGCAGGCAACGACCGTAAATCACTATGAACATAATCCGAGCAGCTTCGCCACGTGTTGATGTGGCAGCAGCAGGCGATCAGTGCCGGTCACAGCCCTACTTTTCTGGAGGCGGAGCATTCGAATTCGAAGTGTTCGCGCCTCCCTGTTCAATGGCATCTCACAAAGATGCATGCCCCGCAGGAGGGCAAATCGGACAGGCACCACGGGAAATGGGACTGCAGGTCCGGTAGGGGCATTACGAAAAGATGGGGCCCTCACTGACAGGGGCCTGCACGAAAGTTCAGAGGCCCTAGGGGCAAATCAGAAAACCTCGGCCGTCTGAGGGCAAATCACAAATATACAGAAAATTCAGGGGTATTTTGCAAATTTCCGCTTTTATTTTTCATTTCTTCCTTCGCCCTGCCGGGCAAGTTCTCCAGGGGCCAAGTCCCACTAGCCAAGAGTTACGCTTCGAGGCTGGGCTTTCAACGACGTGCGGCCCAGGGTGACTCACGTGAGCCTATTGCAGTGGACATCGACCGCCCACTCCTTTTTGCCCAACCCGCCGTTTCCGAAGCGCCCCACGTCCAGTAGCATGTTTTAGAAATGTTTTGTTGCTGTTTTAGTTGGCCACATTTGTTGGGCGGGAAGCTTCAATTTTATGGTTTTTTGACCCAGGGGGTGTTTTTGAAGCTTCCCGCCCAGCCTCTTTCYGACGTCCTTTGTGTGCAGAGCCCGCCAGACACGCCCCCGAAAACGGTGTCAGGTTCTGTTGTGTGGGGTTGAACCTGAGGTACACCGGGACGTGAATGCAGTTGGATGCATTCTCCCAAGTGCTACTGTGAGCATGCCTTCCGTATTTTTTGTCATCATGTACGAAAAAAAAAAAAAACGAGAAAACCCTCCATCGGCATTAAAGTTTTTAAAATCCAAAAAATGTGCCACACACCGATTTACTCTTCGCTAGTGGGACTTGGCCCCAGGGCCACTCTTGTAGCCTCCCGTAGGTTTAAACCACCACCAGTACCTTTCTCATATATCCGCGGCCGAACAAAATAAGATGGGAAGCGTTTGGACACACGGATGAATGTGGACGCTCCCGTAGTTGCCCGTCCATCCGCGCGATGCGCCTGCGCCTTCAGAGGTGCTGATTGGTGGTTCAAAGAAGACAGCAGCTGAATTGGGATAATCGGTACAAAGCGCCCAGGCCGAAACCTTTCCGGTTCTGGGCACCAGAAACTCGGCCGTTTCGTACTACCGGCCCAATGACTCCCATGTGGGGTACTACAGGCCCACGCTTCGCTCCAGGGGCCCTACTGGATCATGAATCTGGTACATAAGAGCGCCAGATTCATTTAGTATCGAATGAGGCCCAATGAGGCCCACGTACGGGATTTCGAAAAAGAAGGGCCCTACGGGTTCATGAATCTGGCACAAAAACAGTGCCAAATTCTTGAACTGGTAAAAACAGGCCCAGGGAGACGTGGCGACGGTGCGAAGGCGCCTTTCACCCAGGCTGAAGACGGTTTGGGCCGGTAGTACCAAACGGCCGAGTCTCGGGCGCCCAAAACCGGAAAGGTTTTGGCGTGGGCTCTTTCTACCGATTATCCCAGCTGAATTCCCCACTTTAAACCACCAGTACCTCTC